GTAAAGTTTAGGGTTGTTATCCCCATATCACCCTTACGAGAGGGGATAGAGATTTGAAATTACTCACAGTTGTTTTTTAGGCAAAAAGTATTATTTGGAAATCATGAATACTAAAGTTGGTGCGGGGGCTATTTTCCTATGCTTACCCAGCTAAACCCTTTGGAGAAGTGCGAACGTGCATTGAAACTGTCGCCCGTAGCTCGACTGTTTTTCACCGATGACGCTTCGCTTTTCGCCTCGCCACAATTTCCTCTCCGTTCATTCGCAAGCTTTGCGTAGATGTATCTCAATCCCCGTGTATAACACTTGTAAAATAGAGCGAACCAAGACATGCACTTTCCCGTCACATAAACCCCGCCATAGTTACTGTGAACTCCGAAATACATAATCAGATTAACCATAAATATTTGAATATGCTGATTACAATAGATTTTATTTTTATCACGTTTCAGGGTATGTTGAGATGTTTCGAAACCTCTTTTGTAGAAACGTGACATTCTTTATTGCCCCTTTCATCGTCTCTTTTCTTCAAATTGAGGTTTCAATTGAGGGGTTCATGACAAAGACGACCCTTGTCAAATGTTCTGGTTTTTGTCATAAAAATAGCTATGTACTAGTCGGAAGCTAGATTCACAACATGGTGAAATGTATATTATCAAGTACGGCCTGTATCCTGATTTATTCTGAAAAGAAAATTGATCGATTCTTAAGATTCTTAAAGATACCAGATTATTTATTCACTCTCCTGAAAATAAAAAAAAAATTGACGAGGGTCGATGTTGTTATGAGCCGTTAGTCGTGCATCTACGTATAGTATACAAGGTGGACTACGAAACGTGATCAGCTTAGATTATTCTACTGCTAGCTGTTTGATCGAATTTTTGTTTCGCTAGTACAACATGATTCAAGGAGAGCTTTCAAATGATTGTACCAAATTGTTAGTCAACTATTTTTGTTTCAGAGTTTTCAAGGTCACCTTCAGTTTTTGATACATAAACCTATAATTTTTTACACCTACGATATAGCGGATACTGAGACGAATTCGGCAAGCATCATAACATATAATTTTTTTCTTCTAAACCAAATAAACATCAAGAAAATATTATTTACCTTAATTAAAACGATGTTCAAAATGGTGTACCTCAGCTGCAATACACTCGTGTAGATGGTTAAAGAGCGAATACTTCGTTCTATTAATGACGTCTGCACTGATGGTTAAGCATGCCAAAAAATTTTCAATCGAATAGCTAGCAGCAGAATAATCAAAACAAATCACGTTCCGTAGTCCATTCTATAGACAAACTATTAACAACCTCACATTGGTATTTTCCTATTATATGATTTTGTTAAATAAATTCTCTCCTTCCAGAAAAGTAAAAGATGGTTTTAGATTAACTTATAAACTTGACCAACAGTTGAAAATTTTGAACACCCAGAACACTGTGTTTCACAGTTTAGCTTCATTAATTCTCATGCACTGTTCAATACACTATTGCACTACTATTCTTTGAATTAGAGTGGGCTTGAATTAGAATCGAATTAAGGAAATATATGTATACAGGGTGGGACGGAAATCGTAGTACAACCGTGCAGGGGGTGATTCTACGTTAAAAAAGAAGAAAAAATGTTGCTGTAACATTTTCTCATCCAGGGCTGCGTTTTCGAAAAAATGGACTTTAAAGTTTGTTCAACTTGTCAACGATTTAGTACAATATCACAATAAAAGTTACGAAGGATTTCAGAAAATACAGTGCTATGTATAGTATTTTAATAGCTTTTATAAGATGTTTACAAACTTAAAACAAAGTTTACGAACCAGTAATTTTGACCGCTTGGTAGTTCTAGTGTCAATAGAGTATGTGTTTAACTTAATCAGGAGGTAATTCATCTCATGTCACTTTCTAATCCATCACATTAAATGAAATAAAGATTCATTTTATCGTTAAAAATGTCACGAAAATGATCTATTTCAGCGTAGATGACAAAAATAAATAGCAAAGAGAAAGGGCAAGTACGATCATCGATATTTTCTACTTGTCCTAAAACCTCGCGTTTGAAAGCTGCATTTTGCGCGCGGCATTATGCACACACGAATGAATCATGCATGAACGTCAGATCACGGTCATCGCACTCACTCGAGTACTCGTATCTTCTGTACGTGAAGGAATGTCTGAAATATGCCGCTGTCACTGCTGAACGCGAGCTAATGCACGTGGACGCGCTTGACATTCTCGTGAACGGAGGAAAACGTGGTTGCACTTGGACTCATTCTATTTCATCTGAATCAATTACTCCAAAATTATTGTAACACTAAAAATTTTATGAAAGAATTTGACAGTAAAAATTAGTTAAATTATCTTTCCTTCGACATAGGTACTTATTCATCATTTTGCCGAAAAGAATAATTAATCATTGGATTGATTATATTTCCCTGCCAATTCTTCTTTATGATCATTGGACTGTAACTAGATTGCATAGATAACAATTATCTAGCCTAAAATTTTTAATTCCTAATGACCTGTTGTAGATTAAAATTTCTATATGAGTCGTTTTTTTAAAGTAGTTCAAGTCCAATTTTGAAAAAAATGAGTTAAAACTAGTTTCAGCTACAGATGGTGTTTCAGCTACAAATCTGTTCTTTCTATATTTATAATCACAAATAGAGTAACATATTTGCACAAATCTTTCAGATTGCAATTCAGTACTTCGTGGAAATTTTTCACAACCCCGAAATCATCCAAATTACATATTTTTTATAAATGTAACATGACTTAAAAGAGTTATTGCCTTAAATTCCATAAAATTCTTGTGGAGATTATTACTGAATCGAGAATACATTTTCAGATGAGATACGCATAAGAACAATGAAGAAACGAAGTAATGAGAGCAAGACGGCAAAAGGACGACAGAACGAAAATACCGCTACGGATGAGAAGAAAAATGTGAAAAAAGGCGTCCGCAAAGAAAAAACTGTAAACGATGATATAGAAAATCAAGGTTTCAGTGATTGGTTACGATCTAGCGATGGCATTGAAATGATGCGACTTTTCGTCATCGCGAATTCGATTTTAGTGTTCGTGACTATGGGGTGGCCAAAAATGCAAGAAGCTATCCTATATCTTAAAGATTATATCTGCGGTGACGATTAGATATTATAATCATTTATAACAAAATAATTCGGAAATTATAATTTGTAAAGTGGCACATAATACTTTTCTGGAACTCAATATGGTAACAATATACCAAGGACACAAGTTACATGTCGGTGTTATCTAAATGAATTCTCTGCAAACGAATACTGCAAGTTTAGTAAACGGTGATGATAAGGACATTGCTTATACTAGGCAGAACTTTTTAAATTACAAAAGTTTACGCATCTTTCGATGCTTGTATTATGGCATCCCATTTCCCGAGACTAAATTTGAGAGGTACATCTATATTTATGTAACACGCAATACGATTCAGTTTTAAAATAAGCAACGATATTGGAGGGTTCATTTTACATCAAATAATAGCGATTTTGACGATAAGTAATTGATTTTCAATATTTGAAAGTAGCTTTGGACAATCTGATTTTTAACAATATACTTCTAGAATATTTCAAAACATTTTATTAGACTTCACACTGCTTTTTACACGTCCTCCCGAGAATTTTTTCTACCTTATTTTCTACGTCTCACACCGAACACAATTTTTTGAAGAACTCATTATTACTAGAGCTCCAAAGATTTAATTATCACTAGGTCACTAAATCCTCTTCCAAACAATTGTATTTGGTAAAAATCTTATCGTTCATCAAAGTGCGATAATTTACCCATCAATATCCCTTCAAATTTGATAACAAACACTTTAATCTTTGGGAGCTTCCTCATTCATACATCACCTAAAACGTGATCCTCGTGCTCCGAGAAAACTACCACGAAAATTTCCATTTCTCAAGTGACTCTTATCGCTTCAGTATCGTATCCCTCATCTGTCATCGCGATCTACCATCCTTCACACCAGAAACAAGATTCGAAACACTCGTGCAGATTCCTTATATTTCAATCAACTCGATCAAGAGACTATAACAAGCGGCAGTCATGCTGGGTGTGCTTTTCCGCGGAGTTTTTCTCATCGGTGTACTCACCTGGTACAGCACCAGCGTGTGGAAATTGATCGACAGCTACTTCAGAGATCAGTTTCGCAGCTACCTGGAGGAAGAGTCTCGGAGGAATCCGCGGCTGAGGTCCGACCTGCAGGGTGTCTCAGTCGATAAAATCGATCCCGTTATCGGCGGAACGGCACCGGAAACGACGGTGGAGCCGCCACGGGAGATCGTCGAAGTCTGCGGGACGGCGAGCGTGTGTGCGGTCGAAGCTGCAGAAACCGATTCCACGGCGAACATGGCGACGAAAGAGGAGGTGGCAGGTGGAGCTAGTGAAAACGTGGCCGCTGGGGGATCCATCGATAAAAATGCATACCAGGGAACCGCCGCGGAATCGGAGCTGGAAAGTAGGAAGTCGTCCGACGACAAACAGGAATCTCGACGACGCATTAATCACGGCGACCGTGACCTCGAGGACGTGAAGAGTGACTATGATCGTCGATCAGTCGATTTGTCCTCGAAAACCATCGGAAGAAGAAGGGGCAAATCTGAGGTGAGGTCCACTAAGGACAGTTCGCGGGATGTTCAACCCCCTAGAAAGCGAGGCGTGAAGACGATTACCTTGTCAGAGAAAGACTTTCCGGCGAAGAATGCTGCTTTGCAGGACGATTTCTGGGAGTTTGAGGAAGATGCGGTGGAGAAGGAGCCGTTGGAAGGGATTTTAGTTTCCGAGTTACCGTTCAGACCGAGGATTGATGGTATAGGGGACGTAGAGAGAGTTACCGCGGATGAATACTGTCCCATGACCTTGGAAGATGAGGCATCATGCGGGGAAACGGTTACGTGGCCTTGAAAATGTAGCTACATCTCTACAAAAAATTAGAGGATCGCTAATATAGACGGTCCTGTTGCACCTACCAAGCGAAAGAAATAAAACGACTGCTAGGGTAGGTGTTCCAATTACTGTCATCTTAAGATTGTAGTGTAACTTCATTTAATCATTTCACGTGTTGTTTAAACTAAAAATCATCTCAATTTGGAACATAATATTATTTGACATCTCTACTATTAACAAAAATGGTTTTATACATTAAATAGGAAGGATTAATTAATACTTAATTGAAATCTGAAAGCAATATCAATGTTCCTATAACTATCACCTCAAAAACTAAAGTAATTGTTACATACGTTAACAATTCATTTTGTACAATACATAAAGGTTGAATGATAAAATTACGGTTCATTCTTTGATATGATTTCGCCATCAATTCCTACTTACATAGTTGCGTTCTTGACGCTCAAATTGCACTCTCATTTTTCAACATTAAATTTTAAATACCAGATACATATAAGTACATGTATTTTTTTGTTTTTGTGTAAATTTGAGACCCAATTTAATAATTCAAATTTCGGTACGCAGTTGTTTATACGTTAAGTTCTTATTAAGTAAAATAAATAAAGTGGTAGTAATTTGGACATTTACCCTATAAGTATGCCAAATTGATATCTTTTGAGTATAAAACTTTTTGGAGATTATACGTCGTACTGACGAGCAGAACGACTGCAATAAATGATCCTCAAATTGTTTTAAGCAGAGTATAGCAGACACGCGGAATATATTAGAAGAATGTGCGATAACTTGGGCTAGGAGTTGCACATATTGGTAGAAACGATCATCATCATCAATTATCATAATTATCATGAAAACAATGGGTTTCTAATTAGTCGTTGGAACATATGTAAAATGGAATTCAATTTATGTGTAACTACTTCCTACGATAGATTGCTGGATCCATTGCCTGAAGGATTACACGTCGAAGAATCTGTGTTTATGTAAAATAGGGTGAAAGTATGTAGTATCTATACTGATTAGCATAAAACAAACAATTCTGTATAGAGTAGAAATATTTCGATGTCATATTTATATACAATTTCCTTTCTAATAGGACTATCGTTACTAAATCTGTTTGCAACCGTTTGATATCTGTATATGTATAAAATAATCTGGTTTCCAACTCTATATTAGGGAATGATTACTATACTCCCCCAAAAATAAATAAGATCGTAGAATTGGAGGAACATAACTCAAGTTAACAAAAGTTTTTACTTGCAGAATTGGTGTTCTTCCGAAATCAAAGTTCCCCAATAACGTTATAAAATAGTGTGAATTTCAAAGAATATGAGAAATGTAATATTATGAAGAACTATAAGAAATATGTTTTGTAAGCTGTGTGTAACATCGGTTTTTCATTTGCACTATGCGTCTACGCTTCGTTCATTTTTTTGTACCATCACGTCAGATTTCTATAAACCTATTTCTAGTCATTCTTAGTAATTAGTTAAATGTAATTGGTAAAACAGTTTCAAAAGATATAAGTGTTAAATAATGCAGGTTTTTCTTAATGGAAACATGAATTTAAGCGATTGATTATAGTATGTAGGTATGTACATACTTTGAATGTCCATATTTCAAATTTGTTTATCTACCATAGTTTTAAAAATTGTCTTAATCCATATGCCACACATTCTGGTTGAATATAATTGTATACAAATTAAGCCAAACTAAAAATAAACAACAACAAAATTATTATTACGTAAAGAAGTTTATTTTGTGTAAGTATGATGTCGCATATTTTAGAAAATTCTCTCGAGTAAGTATCTTCTAAATTCGCACTAATAAAAAGCAATCGATATACGTATGGAAAGCAGGGGTGTGCGGGTACCCGAAATCACGAGATTCCCGAAACTCGGATCGGCTCGGAACAAGTCAGGCGAGAGCGGCCGGGATCCCAACAGTATAAATTGCATCGAGATCCCGACAGATGTCAACATCTTCGGGTCCCGAATGATATTTTCGAGAACTTTTCCGTCTAACGGTAAAAAATTATACTATACAATACGATGCCATACTCAATTTTCAGGTTCATGATACGAACTATAAATGCTAAATAAGTTAACGATTCTAAATGGAATCCTGCGATTGGACAGGGTTAATAATACAATCTTCAGTACACATTTCTTCGTACGTTATGTTTTTATTAAGTAAAATAAATAAAGTGGCAGTATTACGTACATTTAATGTATCATACAACATACAGGATTATGTAATATTATTTTAAATTGTAATGTAAAAAACATAATTCCTCGACACTGTCCGGCAATAATTTCGACATGGTCGGTGTAACGATATTTCCTGCATTCGAAAAGAAACGCTCGCTCGACGTTTGCGTAGCCGGGATGGCAAGAAAATTTCTGGCTATTTCTGACAATAGCGGAAAGTGTATTTTATGGCATTTCCACCAATTTACAATGTCTGTACTTTGTGGTGAAATTTACCCAAATGACTTCAATTAGTAATCAGAGTCAAAATGAAAACATTCAGAGTACATCAGATACAAACAACACTAATAATAGTAAGTTTTCAAAATTACTTACCAATATACATATGTGTATTATAATTATAATAATTTCTATAAGTGTAAGGTATTGCTATTGTTTTATTCTAGGTGGATCAAAATTAATGCAATACTTCCACACAAAATTAGGAAATTTGGAGGGAGAAGTGGACACCTGAAACGTGCAGAAATCAAGAGATACGCACATATTTCTGCGAAGAAATTTCACCACAAACTACAGACATTGTAAATTGGTGGAAATGCCATAAAATACACTTTCCGCTATTATCAGAAATAGCCAGAAATTTGCTTGGCATCCTGGCTACGCAAACGTCGAGCGAGCGTTTCTTTTCGAATGCAGGAAATATCGTTACACCGAACAGGTCAAAATTATTGCCGGACAATGTCGGGGAATTATGTTTTTTATATTACAATTTAAAATAATATTATATATGCCTGTATGTTGTATGATAGATGAAATATCCCTAATACTGCCACTTTATTTTACTTAATAAAAACATAACGTACGAAGAAATGTGTACTGAAGATTGTATTATTACCTATGTTAACTTATTTAGCATTTATAGTTCATATCATGAACCTGAAGATTCAGTATGGCAACGTATTGTATAGTATAATTTTTTGCCGTTAGACGGAAAAGTTCTCGAAAATATCATTCGGAACCCGAAGATGTTACAAGGTAAGGGCACTGGACACCCAATATACTTATAGTATAATGAAATAAAAGGATGAAATGGGTATGGATAGGAATTTTTTAGTGGACGACCTGGTAGACTGTGAGAGAATCTTTTTCTAAGAGAAGAAAAATTGTAGGTGGCAAATTCCAAGAACCGATCCCGACTACGGCTGCATGTCACAGAAGGGTAGGTTTATGACAGTACCTGCCTACGTCGGCGACAATCTGCACACAGCGTGTTGTGGGTCTATGTAGTTATGCAGGATTTTCGAAGTCTACCTGGATTTGCACAGCGGTAGAAATAAAGTCATTTATAATGGAATCTAAAAATATCTGTGTAGTTGGAAAGTCATTCTGAATGTTCCATGAGTTTATTCACTAACATTGAGGAACAAGTAACTTTAAAATTCTCGTACGAAGTATAATATCTTCGAAATTTAAGTTATTTATTTTATACAATCCATGAATAGAATGAGAAATAGTAATATAATAATAAATAACAATAGTAATTCGAAGAAACAGTGTTCCGATATGATATGGAGATTATAAGGGAGAAATAATACATAAATGAACCGTGTGAAACAGTCAAAAACACTTAAAACTCAAAAAGGAAAGAAGTTTGAAAACTATAGCGCTTAAAACAAGAAAACCACCTAATTCTTAATTAAGATGGTACTTGACTTTACTGTAAAAAAAGAAAAAATTTGGATCGTCCTGTTCATTATTATAAGAACAAAAAAACGTATCCTATGTTTATTTAACAGAATTAATAATATTCTGCATTTAATTAGTAGCAACAGTCAAACTCTGAATATGTAGTAGGATTTTTAGTAAGATACTTTGAAGTACCAGTTTATTTAGAAATAATCGTTTTCCTACGGTGAAAGACTATGTAGTTTCAGTTCGATTTCATATTCCAAATACTTTACACATTCCAATGTTTCCAACAGGATTTACACTTTAAAGTTTCTTTAATTTGTTCTACGTATTTCATGCAATATAAATAATATTAGGAGTGCTTAATAGTGATCTACTATTTTCTTAATAGGTCGACAAAATAATTGACATTCAATTTACCTTTTCTCTGTGCTTCGTAAACATTGTGTAAGACGTTCGTAAACATGGCAAATATGTATTGTTAAATGACTATGAACTTTTGATTTTCTTGGACAGAATATTAAAAATGAACATTGTAAAATGTTAACAACCATAAATATATTGGTTTTTGGAATTCCATTGGAGGAAAACATGTATCACTGCAGATTTCTTATTCGATTAATTTCAGGAACGTTTTGATCCTGAAAATGAGGTCTCATATATCGGGGAAACTACAAAGTTGCTGTGAAAGTACAGAGAAATTGCGATCTATGATTCCAATGTAAGTTTACGATTGCCAGGGAAATTGAATCGCCAGTGAGAGGACGCGCAGACATAAAACTTTTCGCGCGTATCCTGTTCGTTAGGGTCACTGTAATTCTTTCGTGTGATAAGGTATCATGCTTCCGTACATTAAGATATCGTTGACCGCTTAATATTACTATTACACAGCAGTCTGTCATCCATTGACCCGTAGAACAGGATACAATGCACTGTAAATGAGAATTATTTGTGTCTGTAATCGTTCTAGCGATAAATTTGTTAACACATGTGTACATTATTCTGGTACAAAAGAAAAAATAATTCATGTCATTTCTCTGTAAAAAACATAACCGAAGATAATTATACTTTACTAAGTTTACAGATAATTTTGTACGACTAATT